ATTATAAGTTTAATTGATATAGCACCTCTTGGGCACTGCTAAAACCTTTGGAATACTTCTACGGTCCCCTCTTCTTTGCGATCCTTAGTGCACTGATGATTCCCGCGAGTGGCTCCCTCTGTCTTGCATCGCACATTCTCATTAACAGGTTGCTCCGGTCTCACGTATATTTTCCACCCAGTGTTTTCTCCTAAAAATCACTCCAATCGCATTAAAAGCTCTATTTTTTCAGAAAAATGTAAAAGGGATGTCCTCAAATGTCTGTCCTTCCCGCTTTTGTTCCCTCTATTAGCTCGTGTCGTTTAGCATGGCCAATAAGCCATGTGCTATGCTAGAAGTGCTAATGGCCGCGCTATTATGCTACTCGTAATAGGGCACTAGTCGTGTACGTTTATTCTTTTAGATCGAATGTGTAGACGTAGTTTTTTTTACCTGCTGTCTGACTAAATTCTCAAACGGTGAACTAAAATCCCCCTGGAAACCAATCGACCCAGAAATTATCTATTCTTTTGGACGTTTTACTGCTGTGAAATGTCTGAAAACAATGACAAGGGTTCTACAAGTGCAGCGAAAGGTTCAAAGGGAATGTGTTTATCCGCTGATGCAGGAATAATGACAAACAGCAAGGATTTGTTAGCGTCTTCTGACTGCTACTGGTTGGTCCGCTCTTCGTCTTCGTCATTTGTTGCCGGTAACAGGTCTCAAAAAACACCATCCCTAATATTTGAAAAGTGTTTCCTTTTAGGGCTGTGATTCATAAGAAAGTTTTAAATTCTCTATTAAGGGTCACAGGTATCATTAGAGCCCATGGCATGGAGAGTAAAGCCCTCACGGCACTGGGAGGGAGCTAGCTATTAAAAAAATTCGGCTTACCGAGCCTGCTCAGAGTGCACTTGATGCACGTAGTCGTCCCTTATCCCCGTACCCCCCTCTATTAGAACGTATTTAGTCTGATCTGAACACTGGTTTTTCGCCCTAGGCAAAAGTTGCCAAAGCAAGACATCGATCCAGGCGCCGTATTTGGGTGGGGGGTTGTCTTGTGTGTGTGTTTGACTATCGATTTCGATGACGGCTTGTAACCTCCCACAGTCAATGCACGGCATACCGACCATATACGCAATCACGACGTACTAGTACCAAAGGGTATAGGGACATACTCGCCTCTATCCTTTCGTCCGACCTAGGACTCTTCAATCATTTGGTACTAGAAAATTACTATTAGGGGAACTTGTAATAAGTTTGTTGTGACAGTAACTTCTTGGCTTTAACATATATGGGATTTCAAATTTCAGTGCCTTGAGCCGGAATTTTCAATCTCTTGACACAGGAAGACGAAACAATTACCCATGCAATAAACCTCACCAGATGATCGTTCTTCTTTATACTAACTTATCATCTTCTACTAAAGGATCGCATTAAAGACCAGTCAGGTACAGCCCAACGGAGAAACCCACGTCTGGGCTTATTGTCTAGGCGGCGCCGCAGAAACTCGAGAGAAGGTTGTTCTAAGAGTACGAACCCAAATTGTGACACCGTGCGTTTTCATTTGTCCGGACAGATTGAACCACTATGAACAACAATCGAACTCGATTTTGGCCTATTTGCTTTTCACGATGGCAGAAGAAGTGAGCAACGGACTTTCGGTATTGGAAGTTCTATTTTACTCACAACTGAACTAAAAAAATCCGACGGCTCTTTACCGTAAGCCGACAAGCACCCGTGCTGCACAAAGTGAATTTTATACACACGCTTTACTGACAGTAGAAATCCATCTGAAAAAATATTTACTGAAAGTAAATTGCATGCATTATAAGTCCGAACGCTAAACGTCTGAACT